TATTTGGGGGTGGGGTTGGCCGGGGGGTTTCCACGGGGTTTCCCGGTTTTGGGGTTTCTTTTTGGAAAGTTGGGCAGCCCCTTCAAAAGAGGTTTCGTAAAAGGCGGCACTTACACAAAGAGGGGGAAAACCCCCCGGGGAAAAGTTAACCGCAAAAAAACCCCCGCCAGCGGCACCGGCAAAACCGCCATTCGGCCCCCCCAACCATGGGGGGGGCCCCCTTATGTCCAGGGTTCTTTGGGGGACCCCCCCCTCACAGGATTAACCCCCCCCCCCCCCCCCCCGTGGGTTTTCGTCGCATGGCAACGACGTTGTAAAACACGCCGATCGCTGTGTGAGCTCGACAACCAGGTTTACCACTTAGTTTTGCGGTAAGCATGACGGTGGTCGAGTAGATAATATTGGGCGGGCTCGAGAACCCTCACTCCGGGCAAAGGGATGATCGCACCACGTTGCGTGAAATCGGTGAAGCACCCTCGGGGTAGTGACACAGTGCTTTAGCTGTCTCTGGAAGTCAAAGCGCCAGAAAGTGAATCAAACCATTCACAGGTGTCATCCGTGTGCAAGCACGTAAGCAAAAGATGCCGAATGCCGAATGCCGAATGCCGAACACCTTAGCAAGATGCAGCGCACCCTCCATGCGACTCGCCGACTACCTCACGGCGCTTAGGGCTTGGTGATGTGATAACCTGGTCCGGTGAGAACCCGGCATATCGCTCCGTCCCGGCTTTGTAGGGATGCGAGGCCAAAGGTCCAACGACTACGGCATGCACGGCTATGAGTACACCCCCTCGAAAAAAACGACACCGCCGGGGCAGCAAAAACCTTTGAGTTAGCCCCGGGATTAACATTTTTCTTTTTGCGTCCCTCTACCTATGAGTTACCTAGTTCTTCGGAAGTTGTCAGGGCGCCCCACGGGGCATTCGCACACAAACCACGGACGGCATTCCAAAGGCTATTACGGGTACTGGTGCCGAGGAGGAGCTGCATCGATCCGCTGTGATTTTTCGGCGTCCATATGTACCTAAGCAGACATTGTACAGGCGGAATATATCCGTGTGTTTTGTATTATTCCGCTGTACCCGACTTTGGCGGAGGCGGTAGAACAAGAACCGGCGGAGCACCGACGGTTTCCCGTTACCGCGCACCAGGGCGGATATTTCATGGCAGGAAAATTACCGATAGCCTACAACAGTACGCAAAAATATATAAACAACGCTTGAAAGACCCAAAAAATTGCACATGATTGTGGTTCTTTATGTACGTGTTTGGTCAGGGAGCGTCAACAGCCAAAACAATGAAGGTAAACATTCGGTGTTCTAGCATGAACCGGCCAGTTCACCTAACACGCACGTACATACATATATGTTGCCCTAAACCCCGTCGGATCTGCCGCTTCGACCACTGGGTTATTGAGGGTGCAAGAACGGGTGCGAGTGCTGTCTACTGCTGCTGCTGCAGTATACTGTGTGTGGTGCTGCAGGCAACTAGGGGGGCGAGGTTGGCAGAGTGTTTATGTGGTCCTTCGTAACAGAAAGAGAGAGAGCAAAGGTGGTTCAGCGGGCGATGCGCGTGGGCAACGACACGAAGAGAGGGAAGATTGCGGTCTCAAAGGAGATAAGAATACTTTTACATTTTGACCGCGTTCGTTCCAGCTCATGGGTATAACTCACAGAACGTTCGTCCGGTGGCATCCGTTCCGCTTTCCCATCCCGCTGGCAAGTTCATGGTTCGCTGTTGTCCGTGTGCCCCTGCCTGCTTCCGGATTGTGTGTCGGCTCTCTCTCTCTCGCTCCCGGGGTCCCCTTTGGACCAAAGCTATATGCAACTCGGTTCGCCGCTCGAGATCACCTCTTGCTCTTCCGGAACGAGTGTTCTACAGCTGCCACGCGTTGATATTGCTCGGGAAACGATGTACGGCACGCAAATTTTACTGAATTTGCCTTCCACCCCTGTAAAAGTTGCGTATGGGTGCTTGAGTAGCACTGCACTCTGCACACATGTGTTCGCGGCCGCGTTCTGGTTGTTCTTCCTTTCACGGTGCCGCTGTACCCCCTATCAGTGGTACAAGATATACCTTCTGCGTATCCCCGGCGGCTGCTCTCGCGTGCTCCGTGTGCTCTGCAGAGTTCGAGACAGCAGCCGCTGTACCACGCCGACTGACAGCCTTGCACGGACGGAAGCTTGACTTCTTGTGCTGTTCCCGTTTCGTTGCTGGTCTACTAAGGAAACTTCAGCCAGCGGGTCTGATAGCAAGGCTTTAGGGATGGCAGCGAGCGCGCCCGATCCGATGCCGGAAGCTTCTTTGCCAAAGGACGATGACAAGGGTACCATGGATGTGGGCGAGGAGGAGGAGGAAGAAGAAGAAGAGGTGTGTGTGTGTATCTAGACTAGTGCTTGTGCGTTGTTGACTCGGTATTTTGTGCCAACGATGGGTTTTCGCCCCCGCTTGCTCCTGGAGATACGTCTGTACGGCAGTAACGTCGGAGTTGCAACCTCTCGCTGTTTGGTTGTCTTTGTGCAACAATCCAACACCCCGCACGCGGCTTGCTACAGCAGTAGTTGCTTGACCCACCGCTAAATAGCTACCAGCAACAGTAGCCCACCCCGGTCCCCTTTTCTCCCCGGTAACGAAAAACGGTGGCATTGCAAATTGCAATTTCCTTTCGGTGATATCGGGGCTGTTGACCAGATACAGTACCTACGCTAGATACCACCGCCTTTTCTCAGCGCCTGCCGTTTGCACCAGCTGCGTTTGCACCATCTTGGTCGCATGCATCAGAGAGAGGAAAGCTCACAGCGTCTGCTGATCTTATGTAAACAATCGTGAGCACAGAAATCCCGAATGATCTCGGGCACTGCTCCTTTTCTAAGAGATGGCCAGATGGACGAATCAACCAACCGGAAGTAGGTGGAGCTGCCGTAACTCTGGAAGTACTTCGTAGTACATAGGTTTTTGCGTGTAAGATAAAACACAAGTACAGGACAGTAGGGGGGGGGGGGGGGGGGG